CTCCCCCTCCCCCCCTCTCTCTCTCTCTCTCTCTCTCTCTCTCTCTCTCTCTCTCTGTAACATTTTAAAACAGTCTGATACAAAAATGTCGAGGCTATGATCATTTTCAAATGGGAGAAATTTTAAAGTTATGAATGACGGAGCTAGAATTTTTTCACCAAGATATTTAAATTCTTGTAAATTGCGAGAAAATCACAAACATTCTCGCAAGAATTTATGAACGGTAGTGTATATATTTATTTATGACAAACCATGTAAATATTTAAATATACTATGTAATATTAAATATCTTATGCAATATTTAAATAATTGTTTTATATATAACTTTCAAGATAAACATTAAACTTAAAAGAATTACATATTTACCAATATAAATATCGTAAAAGTACTAACCCAAATGCATAAACATCAGAATCAACTGAATATGGTAACTTGTCCTGACCCCGATTTAACGGTTTTAATCGTCGAATAATCTCTGGTGCTAAGTAGCATAACCAACCTGGTGGTATATTCAATCGTTCTCCTTTCCTAAATGTTTATATGAATAAGCTTATGATAAAAGTTAAAATATAAATTATTCGGCAAGAATAAATATTATTCTGTAAAATATAATTTTACCTATTTCCATGGCACAATTTGGTAATGTTAAACAGACCGAAATCTGATATCACAACTTTTCCATTTTCTACAAATACATTCTTGCTTCTAAGATCTTTGTGAATTATATCACGAGAATGAAGATATTTCATTCCCTATAAAATAAAAATGTTTACAAGAATACACTATATGTATAATAGGATTTTTCAAATATTTTTAATTTTTCAATAAAATGTTTTAATAATTTCTTAATAAAATATTTTATTTATACATCTTTATCGTTATACTATTTTTAACGTATGTAAGTTTATGCAATTAACAATATTATTATAAGCATGTACAGATGACTTGTTTTAAAAAATTACTCTAATTTACACTAAAAAATTACTTCAATCAGAGTAGGAGTTTCTTATAATTTTTTGAATATTGAAAATAATACCATGAATAAAAAAATCCAACATATCAAGTTCTCAAGATGATTGAGATTTCATGTAAAAAAAAATGACTCAACAATATTTAACATTTTTTTGTAAAGTTAATATTATCTTGAAATTTCGATTAAAAATTATAAATATATTATTCATTTCCTACAAAATAAATCTTTTTATTTCAACATCTGACTTTTTTCATATTATGAAGGAGTTAAATACAGGGTTTTTCTAAGATAACAAATTTTTAACTTATCTGATCAGAATTTCAAGATAACATTAATAACCTTTTATACCGAAAAATGTTGAATAAGAGAACCATTTTTTGTACATTAAACCTCAATTATTTCGGGAATCTGCTAATTAAACTTGGCATCGTTTTCAGCATCTAAAAATTTATAAGAAACTTGTCTAATCCAAGGTAATTAAAAAAAATTTTTGTAAATTGTAAATATTTTTTAAATGTTTAAGTAATATTTATACACAATTTTTATATTTACCTGACATATCTGTTGAGCTATAGAATTAATTTGAGTCAAAGTAAATCTGTCTTTTCGTATATGAAGGCAAGTATAAAGTGATATGCCTCTAGACAAACTAGTCACTAGAGCCAATTGAGGAGGTTTTGTACAAACTCCTAAAAATAATATTATATTGTCGTGTCGAGCTATTCGGTATGTGGCGACCTGTAATAAATCAATAATAAGTCAAAAAATATATAATATTTGTTATATAATGTTAACTATAAAATATTCTTGATTATTAATAATTTCAGTATTTATAATTAACATAATTATATATCCTTACCTCTAATCTAAATGTTTCTAATGTCTTTTCATCTTCTGAATAATAACTCATATTTAAAATTTTAATTGCAGTATCCCCATGCCAGAAACCTCTATATACTGTAGCAAATCTTCCTTTTCCAATCAAATTTCTAACTTTTAATTCACTATATAAAATGTCCCACTCTTGCATCAATACCTATAACAATAAAAACATAAGTTTCAATTGGATATATTTTATATTTTTATCAAGCTATTAGTAAGATTAATACATACACTATTTTGTCGAGGCCAACGACATGGATTTTCAACTATTTCACTGTCAGAACTTAGAGATTCCTGAGAATTAGCTTTCTTTGATACCTCTGAATCCGAAGTATCATCCATATCATTTTTTCTTCTATTATCATTCGAAATCGCTGATTCAGATTTGTATCTCTTCTCATGAAACTTTCCTGATAATGCCTCCTTTTTAATCATTACATCTAGAAACAAAATAAATTATACATCAATATTCTAAGAATAAAGTTGCAAATTATAATAACAAAGGTTCTTTATTTACCTGGAAAATGAAACTGTCTTAGAAACGAATGTGTACTGTGGCTAACAGTAGTTGATAGCAATGCTGGACTAGAAGGTGTTGAGCGGTTATGGCTGAATGTATTTAAATTAGAATCGCCCTAATATATATATAAACATAAATAATCATTATATAAAAATTTTACAATTGTTATGCAATATAAAACATCAATACATTTACGTCGTTATATAAAAATCTAATTACATATTATTCATAATATTTTATAAAAATCACTAAAAATATATATTTAATTATAACGTACATGTACAGGTATATTCGTAGAAGATTGTGTGTATGACCGTCTTCTGTCTTTGCGATTTAAACGGGGTAATAAGTCTACATTATTCGAAGATGTCATGCCAGTCCTCTTTAATACAGGGGAAACATTCAACGAATCTAAAATAATTTATTTTTATAACTTACTTTTAAATGTTTGTTACTCTTGAAAAAACTTTAGTATAACTTCAAGAAAATGTGAAAAGAAAGCTTAGATAAGGATCAGCACTTTGTATTAAAGTAATGTTTTTACGCACGCTGTAAAGATTGTATAGATCGTTTAAAAGCTGCAACAAATTTTCGAGGTATGCCACAAGAAGAGGGTACTTTGGATAGACATTCTTGATGACACCTATATTTACATTCCTTGCATCTTAAAGTATTCATAAACACTGGTCTCTCACAATAGTCACATACTGTTAACATATTGAATGATTTGGTAAATCGATGAGTAATTGCGTGACTCATGCCGCGAGATGAACCAGGAGTAGATGGAGAGTTTGGCACTTGGAGACTCGTTCCTAAAAATAAAAAAAGACAAAATAATATTTTATTTATTCATAGGAGAATGTTAACAAGTTATCCTTTCTTATGCACCTGTTCCCTCAAGATTATCACTTTCTGGATTTGTAGTACAGATTGGAGGTGGTGGTGGTGATTTAAAATGTGATCTAACAAATGACTTAACGGGTGATTTAACAGGTGATTTTATAGGTGATTTAACAGGTGATTTAAGGTGATTTAAAGGTAATTCAACAGGTGATTTGATAGAGAGAGGTGATTTAATAGGTGATTTAATGGGACTATTGTTGCTTGATAAAGGACTTTCTTCTTTTCCAGAATCTGTTGTACCACAATCTACATTTTGTTCTGTTGGTAGATTTCTTCTTACAGGAGAATCGCTGTTTTTCTCTATAGAAGAATTATTTCTAAAACTAAAAATATATAGTATTAGTATATTGAAAAAATTAACGTTTTATTAAAATCAAATTTATAAAATTGTAAAATTTTAATTTTAAAATTAAAATTACATACAATCAAATTAATAGAAAGAGAATACATTACATACTATACTATTCTAAGTATTACCTAAATGATATATCATCATCAAATTGTATTATATTAGTAAGACGACGATTTGCCAATTGTGATTCGTGAGATTTTGACTTAGCTAACGGAAGCACTTCAGATTGTAATGGCTTCTTTTGTATACTAATCAAATGTTTTCTACATGGAGGAGGAGTTTTAACTTCTGGAGGCAAAGGTTTAACTTCTAGAGGCAGAGGTTTAACTTCTGAAGGCAGAGGTTTAACTTCTGGAGGCAGAGATTTAAGTTCTATAATAAAAAAAATTTATATATTTTTAGCAAATAAGTTATTTTAATATTAAATACGAAGACGTATGTATATCAAATATACCGGGTGATTGCGGATAAACGAAACAAACTTAAAGAGTTGGATCTTGATAAACTGAATAATCTTTGTCAAGTAACCCGTATCCGACAATATCTTCTTAAAATGCTAAGCATCAGTTTTTAATCTTGAATGCTGTTTGAATGCTTTTCTGTTCAAAATTAGATTACAACAAATCATATTTTTTAATTTTCCTTGATTTACTTTATTACAATAAATATTTGAAATGGTGATTTGCAATCTTACTATAAATAAAGAAAAGACTTTCAAAATGCGTTCTGTCCAAAATTTATAATTTTCAGAAAAGGAGAAAGAACACATTCACACAAAAAACTATGCACTTTATAAAAAATAACAGTATATTGATCAGTCAGATGTAACATATTAAACAAATTGCTGTAAACAATTGCTAAAAATGTTAATCAAATGCATTTTGTTTATCTCTAGTTAAAAAATATAATGTACTTCAAAATGTCTGTTTTTTTTTTAGTAGTAGTTTATAAATTGATGGTGAAAAAATACTTTCTGAATATTTCAGTAGCTTATAATAGAAATCTTTCAACACTGAACATTATGTCATGTAACTACACAAATTTTGGACAAAATGCATTTTGAAAATCTGCTCCTCAAATATAGTATCTATGATACATTGATCAACATACTCTCTGGAAAATTCCAGGAATATTACGAATCATATCAAATAAGGAATCTTGTTTTTGATCAGCTGACTTTCATTAGCTCTGACTTATGTTAGTTTTGTGTAGTTTTATATATTTCTTTAATGTGTGTCTCAAATACTATAAGTATTTGAATAAGTAAGATTGTTCTTTTAATCGAGTAAATAAAATCGTCACCCACGTTTGCAAATATTTATGCATCACCCATGACACGAGTGGCATGCAAATCAGTGTTTAAAAACTGCTTCACGCAATCTTTAAAATGTAACAAAACATAAGAGATAATTAAAGCATCTTTAGTTCACTTACCATATTCAAGATCTCTCTTTGGCAATGAAATACAGGGAGGATTACTTGAAAAAGAAGTTGATATTGCAGAAGCTGGTGCTAATACATCATTGTTGTTATTATGATATGGAATGCTACTCTCTGATGGAATGGAACACCGTGTAGTACGAGACAGAATTGACTTAGGACAAATTTCCTTACGTAAATTGTCCCAAGAATCCCAGTATAAATCTGAATCATTCTTTTCTGTACCTCCTCTTATCAAAAAATCTAAAACATAATAGTCAAATATACATGTGTTGTTTTGTTATTTATTTATACAAATAAAATTATTTTTTCTATAATATTAAATTTTATTTACCTGTGTATCGCCATAAAATGTCCATTGCTTTACAAAGCCTACGACATTCTTCCTTGTAGTATATACAATTTTCATTTAACATACCCTTTAATTCAAGTTCAGACTTCTCCTTCAGGGCCTCAATAGTATTAACTTTAGAACAAACCATCTAAAATATTATAATACAGAACATTAAAAAAACAAAATTAAAACTCAGTTTAATGTTATTAAATTTAAAAAAAAATTTACAAATTGAGATCTTCTTCAATGGACTCTTGTGGTTTCAAAAATAGTACAATCCTCAAAGGCGAATGAGAGTGCAGCGTTGATATTGGTACGCAAATTTAGTAAAACTTATTATTGAATAGAATTTCCAAGTTTCATTTATTCAATAATGAACAATATATAAACGTTTCGAATCATATAGATTCATCTTCAGTACATTACCATATTAAATATAATAAAACAAAATTTTATGAGACACGTCACATCGAATTGGCAGATAGGATGTTATAAAGTATTCTGTTGAAAAGTAAATTGTACCAATAATTATAAAATTCAATACAAAATTCATTATTAAATTCAAGTGACATACCTCACAAATCAACAAGAATCTCAGAACCATGAATAAAATATCCTATCTGCCAATTCGATGTGACGTGTCTCACAAAATTTTGTTTTATTATATTTAATATGGTAATGTACTGAAGATGAATCTATATGATTCGAAACGTTTATATATTGTTCATTATTGAATAAATGAAACTTGGAAATTCTATTCAATAATAAGTTTTACTAAATTTGCGTACCAATATCAACGCTGCACTCTCATTCGCTTTTGAGGATTGTACTATTTTTGTTATTAAATTTATTTTAAATAAGTAGAAATGACATATTAAATTTGTAAAAAATCATAAGAAATCGACTCATATCTATGTATATTGTTACCTGTATTGAGTCCTCAGTAAGACCAACTACTCTCAACCATTGTTCTAACAATGGATATTGTATCATGTCTGATGGTAATGAATCAGCCAATTTAGCCTTTGCCGCAAGTTGTTTGGAATATAACTTTATCAATTTTGCCTACAAAAATGTTTAACTGTATAAATATATACATCTAAATAGAACTTATTCAAGCTATTACAACTGTTGTGACATACGTACAATATATATATTCAATATTATTAAAAATCACTATAAAGATATGTAATTCATACACATATATTAATTTAAACTTTTGTTTATTTCCATGATTACGTATGTTTATTTAAAGAATACAAACACAATGTGTGTCAAGAATAAGTTATATCAAATATAACAATATAATTTTCAAACTATAAACTTTTACCACTAAACATTTTAATCATTACATTGTAATCTTAAACAAGTTTCGATTAATGCCATTATATCTTTCAATGGAATATCATAAATTTCTCAATTCCATACTGAAAGCAGCATATTTATTCAAAATAAGCATACAATGCTTAAACAGGACATTGCACATTTTATACTGGGAGTAAAGATTATGAGTGCTTTCCAGCAAGGACAGAATCAGACACTGTGTAACACAGAGAATCGTTTCATCCTCGTTTAACGTAGGCGAACAACAAGGATGCAATGATTCACTGTGTTAGACAGTATCTATTTGTGTCGTAGCTGGAAAGCAGCCTATGTATATCAAATGTCATATTGTAACTTTTCTAACCATAAATGTTTATCTTCTTAAATAATTTTAAAATTATATTCTTATAGATACTTATATATGTAAAATAAAAAATTGCAAATAAATTCCAAATAGTATTATCTATGTTCTCTTAACGAAGTTTTTCAATGGAATAATATCACAAATTTCTCATTTTTAGATTGGCAACGACAAGTAGGCATTCTCAAAAATAATGTAAACAAATGTTAAAAACAGCTGATGCTGTCGTATCACGAAGCACGGCGAGACCCAGTGGACGACATTTTTCGGTATTTTCATCAATGTAACGGAATCCAGATGTTTTCAAGGTTTTAAAGAAACAGCACGATCATAATTTGTTGACGATTGACAATGAGGTGTCGCGCCGGGACGCGATGAGCGTCTATCAACGTAAATGGACAGATCAATGATCTCGTGTGCAAGGTGTAGCCGCGGCCTACGAGGGCCCCCTCACCTCCATTTGCCGTATTTCTTTTTGAGTGAGCGGTGCATTAACGGAGCACTGAGACCGCAAATCATCAAGCTGATTAGCGGCCAAATTAATCATAGTTTGTGCGACGTCCATAGCACGTCGTATTTTCTCCACATTTCCATAGGCTGCCATTCCTCGCGCAACGGCCAACCTAATGTGTGGATTTTCATCGGTATGGGTTTTCACTTGACAGGCATAACGCCGACCACTCTTAATACCCCTGCCTCAATCGTTTATTGTTACCGATCCGTCGTATAACCAAACCTCTTATCAACATTGACAACCATCTTGGCCCGCTTTGGCTGCCTGTCGATGACGTCAATCGGAGCTGACGCCGCTGCCGGGCTGTCTGCGAACTTGACCGATCAGCACGTTCAAAATAGAAAAAATAAGGAATAAGAAATTTTAGCCTATCAGAAACTACATATGCCAATGTATCCGATTTCTAATAGATTTAAATTTCTTATTTCATATTCCTTCATTTGTGCTCATGCACACGGATCACGGGTGATCATAAAGCCGTAATCATACTAAAGATTCACGATTCTGACTTCCGATTCCCGACTCAGAAACCTCTAAAGTCCATTCTACAATGGGCAGCAGTAGAGTACCTATAATAGAGTATCGTCAAGAGGGGTAACGGCCTAGTGATGGGTCGCCGCCAATTCTGGACGCTTCGATGTGTTAGTGAATCTGGGTGCTTTCCAATTGATGACACAAGTCGACGCAAGTATCGTTCTATCTTTCTTGACATTTAGAGATTGACAAAGATAGAACGACACTTGTGTCGATTTGTGTCATCAATTGAAAAACACATTCTGTGAAATTGTTGTGAGCAACTATTTCATGATGTAGAAAACAAGCGCGCGCGTTATTGTGCTATTTTCGGCTGGCGCCCAGCAATGGCGTCCTTCCGGTCTTATGACGATACTCTATTATTTTCTTTTTCAGGCGCATACTTATGGAAACGCATGCGCGTGTGGCCACAAAGTATGAAAATGTGACCGCAGCGCATGCTCACATCTGTGTTACGTTTACAACTGTGTTACGTTTACGTGACCATGACATATATCCTAACCTCAATAATCATCAATAAGAAAGAGAGAGCAACTCAACGTCGAGCTAATAAATTTTATAATTAATTTTATTTATATAATTTACCTAAAATAATTGAGAAATGGCCGATGAAAAATCTGTAGTGCAAGAATTTAAATTGGATCCGGATTGCGAATTAAGGTTCGAAATGGAAAGCAAAAATGAAAAGGTTACATTGGAGGTAATAGGACATGATTTCTCATAGAGAATTTATTTCATTTATTACTAATTTAATTTTATTATTAGGTAACAAAATTTTGTTATTGCAGTTAAAAAATGGCTTGGCAGAAGTTTTTGGGACAGAATTAGTAAAAGGAAAAAAATATGAGTTTACTGCTGGTGCAAAAGTTGCAGTTTTTACTTGGCAGGGCTGTACTGTTGAATTAGTTGGGAAAACAGACGTCAGCTATGTAGCAAAGGAGACTCCTATGGGTCTGTATTTAAATTGTCATGCAGCAATGGAACGGATGAGAGAGACAGCAGAGAAAGATGATACTAGAGGTCCAATAACAATGATAGTAGGACCTTGTGATGTAGGAAAATCTACACTTTGTAGAATATTATTGAACTATGCTGTTAGAATGGGCAGAAGACCAATTTTTGTTGATCTTGATGTTGGTCAGGGACATATAGCGATTCCTGGCACTGTGGGTGCTTTATTGGTAGAACGACCATCCAATATAGTAGAAGGTTTCAGCCAGCAAGCTCCACTGGTCTTCCATTTTGGACACAAAACGCCACAAACCAATGTAACGCTGTATAACTTACTTGTAACACGTTTAGCAGAGGTCTGTTCAGATAGATTACAAGCTAACAAAAAAGCCAAAGCATCAGGGATTGTTATAAATACGTGCGGCTGGATCAAAGGAGATGGTTACAAATTGCTCACACATGCTGCTCAAGCATTTGAAGTGGATGCGATTCTTGTATTGGATCAGGAGAGACTCTACAATGAATTGGTGAGAGATATGCCAGACTTTGTGAAGGTAGTCTTTTTACCAAAGAGTGGTGGAGTTGTAGAGAGAAGCCAAGCACAAAGAAGTGAAGCAAGAGATCAGAGTGTTAGAGAATATTTCTATGGTTCAAGGACACCACTGTATCCACATAGTTTTGAGGTAAAATGGAACGAAGCTAGATTGTACAAAATTGGAGCTCCTGTTCTACCAGCATCTTGCATGCCATTGGGTATGAAGGCAGAAGACAACCTGACAAAATTGGTGGCTGTTACACCAGGACCCAGTTTACTGCATCATTTGCTATCTGTTTCCTTCGCCGATTCTCCTGAGGATGACGTCGTACAGACTAATGTAGCTGGATTTGTTTGTGTGTTAGTATACTATATTCAATAATCTGATATTTACCATTATTAACTCTCTACCTGTAATTTGGATCTTTTTTTGCAGAATCCAAGTTTATTTATCGTTTTAGACTTTTAAAAAATATATTAAAAAATTTAGGATTACTTTTTATCTTTATGACAAATATACCAAATAATTTTCTGAATTATTTTAGAAGGAGAAATTGTTCTTTATTTCGGAAAAATTCAAAAATAAAATTTTGCTAAAAAAAAAGATCCAGATTGAATGTAGACTAAGGGTTAATAATTGATATTATTTTTCTTATGAAGATATATTTATTATTTATAGGACTAACGTAGACGTCGAGAGGCAGACATTTACAGTACTTAGCCCGCAACCTAGACCATTACCGAATACAGTATTGTTATTGTCAGATATACAATTTATGGACAGCCATTAGATTTCAACTGTTTTTTATTATTATAAATGTGATATGAGTAAATAACAAAATAAAATATTTTTAATGAAATTGTAAATTTTTACCTGGCGCTTACGTAAAATTTAGAAGTTTAGGATGCAAAAGTATATCGTGTAATATTTTATGAATGTTTATATAAATATTTGTATCTATTTAATATTTTGAATCAAGAAATACAGAACAAGAAAATTTCAAATAGAATTTCCATGTTGTATGTACATAAATTATTTCCACTTTTTAATTTATCCTTTATACTTATATAGTATTAAAAAAAGTTAAATAATTATATGTTAAATATATAACATGTATGAACTTTGCAAACTCATTGTCCTATATATATAAAATTTTAAACTATTTTATATATGGTTCAATAACTGTTCATTCATTTTCATTTAAATCATAAATTTATTTTAATATTTACCCAATCAGCATACCATATTTAAAAAATATTTTTTAAATATTTATTTTATAATGTAAAATAGTTGTAAAAACATTGAATAAACTGCATTTAAAAAATGTTTCTTAAATATGGTATGCTAATTGGGTAATTATACAGACTGTAAGGTTCATTGTTTATAACTGTTCTTTAGATCTGTTCTTTATTCTTGCACTTTCTAAATTGGTGCATATGGTCAATGGTGCAATAAGTTGAAATGAAACAAATATATTTTACTTCAATTTATTACCGATGTTATCGCATTGATACACACATGTTTACAAGTAGAAAAGATGAGATAAGACTCATAGAACGTACAGTTTTATCAAGACGATAACGATGCTCACACGAATGACTTTTCCTCTCTCTCTGAGTTTAATGTCAATGTAGACGTTGCAGACAATGTTTCATTTCGATCGCGTGTGATTCCACGTGTTCCGCGTGGTGATACCACGCAGCCGCTTGTACCATAGGTTGCGAATAATCATCGGAGATACGATGGTGTCTCGTTGATCCTCGAGGAAGACTGAAAACTGCTTTTTGCTTGTGAAGTAATTTAATCGTCGGTGAGTGACTCAACACAGATAACCTCCAAACACATGTGACATTTCGTATAGAGCTTATTTACCTTGATTAGGGCCGATTGTTCCATCTTTCGGTTAAAGTTTACCTGTTAGGTAAATCTGACAATTCGCGCATGTGATTAGATAATCTTGCTACTTACCTGACAGGTAAAGAAAAGTGAAAGAAAATCAGAATATTTCATTTTGTGAAGATAGACTGACTGATTTAAAGACAAAAAATGGGATAACTGTCTAACCTCAAAAAGTTGAAGACGCTGTTGTTACTTTATAATCCAATAGAAACTTAAAAAAAAAGACATTTTGCGTGTTTGTTTGTTCAAACAATATAATATTCAAACTGCTTTTTACGATGATACACGAAAGAAACGTAAGATGAAGAGGCAATACATCTGTTAATATCTGCTGATTCGTTTGTCCTTTCCATCTACATTATATAGAATAAGGTTCAAAAGCAGATCTGCAGCAATTTTTATTAATCAGTGATTTATTATATTAACCACAAATTAATTATTTGAAAAGTATATATGTAAGATATATAGGTCATTTCGCTTTAGTTCAACTTTTTATATTTATACAAGAGTTCATTTTTTTCTTTAAAATGAAAAGGAAAAGAAAAGAATTATGCAAGAAGTTTAGTTAAAAAGAATAGGTTAAATATATGAAGATGGTCAGATATTGACCAATACATTTATATTGATTAATTTAAAAATATATGACTTTGCAAATAACATCCTGCGTATGTGGCTGTAAGCTCATTATATTTATGCCAAATATATGATTTTATAATTTATTAATTTTATTGATAAGCTAGATTATTGCTATACAAATCATTAGTACTTATTTTTTTATAGATTCTATTGAAATATATATCCAATAATGCTGCGTCGATTGCGTATTAAAGCTTTGGCTGCTGTGCCAGTTCGAAAAAAGCTTACGCAGAATTCAGCAGATTCTACTGAAACTAACAATGACATTGATAAGGAAAAGAAGGAAGAAAACATATCTAATATCAATGACACAGAACAAGAAACTACTAAAGATGTTACACAGGTAAAAGAACAGAAAGAGAAAGATGTAATTAAGACTGATACGTTCAAACAAAAAGAACAAAAAGAAAAAGATACATCCAGTACTGATATATCAACAGAAGAAAAACTAAAAGAGAAAGATATACCTAATATTGATGTACCAGGACAAAAAGCTGTCATAGATATTACAAAAGATGAAGAGGAAATTAAGAAAAAACAAGACAAAATCAATTTAAAAGAATCAGTTATAGATAAGGAGAAACTAGATTCCCAAGAATTATGTTCTCCACTCAAATCATACTCTCAAGAGTTACATGCTCAGGCAAAGTCAAACTCTCAAAAGTTGCATGTTCAAGCAAAGTCAAACTCTCAAGAGTTACATTCTCCAGTAAAGTCAAACTTTCAAAAGTTACATACTCAGGCAAAGTCAAATTTTCAAGAGTTACATACTCAAACGAAGTCAAACTCTCAAGTATTACCTGCTCAGGCAAAGCCAAACTGTCAAAAATCTCCATCTCCACTAAAATCAGACTCTCAAGAGTTACATTCTCCAGTAAAGTCAAACTTTCAAGAGGTACATACTGAAGCAAAGTCAAATTCTCAAGAGTTACATACTCACACAAAGTCAAACTCTCAAGAGTTCCATGCTCAGGCAAAATCAAATTCTCAAGAACCTTTGGCTACTGGATTCAAATTTGATAAAATTCAAACTGATCAATCAATTCAAAAAAATACTCTGCCATCAGACGTGTCTATAATAATAGATATAGGTAAGAAACATATAAAAAGAAAAATACATGAAAATATTTTATACCTTGATTACTATCGTATATCTATAACAATATTGTTTTTAAGATTTACATTATAATAATATAATTTCTTTATGATTATATATACTTTAATATTATATATTTTTCAGCCTCTCCTACAAAAGTAATACAGAATCGTCCATGTTTTATGAGACCTACACCAAGGTTGGACAGTGGTGGTAGAATAAGAAAGAACAGTATACAGGGAAGTGGTGCAAGCGCAAGTGAATCTGAAGATGAACACAGTAAGAGAGTGGCATCTGTAATCCCAAATCGCGTACGAAATGACTCTGTCTGCTCTGTACAAAGCAATAAGGAAACTAATGTCAGTGACAATCAAAACAATTCTCAGAAAATTAAAACAACGCAGAAAAGACGTACACTAGTTTCGGAATCGGCAAGAAAGCTGGCTGAAGCTAGAAGGGAGTTTTTACTAAAACACGAAAATAAAACACCTGATAGAAGTCAGTTGAAAATGTATGATTTGATATATTATAATCCCGTGACAAATCCTATGAAAAAATTGTCATCTGAACATAGAGCTAAATCAATAACTACATCACAATCACAGTAAGTATTGTATATTGAATTATAACGTTGAAATATAAAACATCTATATAAGAATTTTATTGATCTTATTTTTTATAGACCAATGGGAATATCGGAAGAGGAAGACGAAGATGATCCAGCGACAACATCCGCGCCACAAGTGAAAGTGGGTCCCGACGGTCAGTTGATAATAGACGAACAAAGTCTTGTGATAGAGCAAGCGGATGCGAGAAGAGAGGAAAAATTATTAGCGAGTGATATTACTATAGAAGATGATAATTTCCGCGGTGGTTTCTATAAAAGGCATAAGAGAAGCAAGGAATGGCCGAAATGGGAAACATTTAAATTTTATAGAGTTTTAAATGTAGTAGGTACGGATTTTTTATTGATGCAAACACTCTTTCCAAATAGAAGTAGACAAGAAATTAAACAAAAATATAAAAAAGAGGAAAGGGTTAATCGACAATTAGTTGAAAAAGCTCTCAAATATCATCAAGAATTTGATACTGATATGCTACAAGAGCAACTAGGTATGTTCCTTTATAGTTTTTCCTATTTTTAATATACGGTATAAACAAATCAATTATAAAACATGTTTTGCATTTAGAAATACTACAAAATCTGGAGAATATACAAAACACATCTAAAAAAGCACAAGAAAAAACTAAGAGTGGACAATCTTTGAGCAGGAGTCAAAGAAAACGCAAGCATCGTAAGTATAATATAATTTTAATTTTATAAAATAAATAAAATGATTTTTTATTTATAATATGACTTTATTATTTATTATTCGATAAATAATATAATAGATTTTTTGACAAATAGACTTGAGGAATTATGTTTTATATGAAGTATTGCATATATTTATGAGAAATTAATCCAAAACAAATGATTATAGGATTAGTAGCGAAAAGTATTGAAGAATGTGGATCACTATCTAATGATCTAGAAGCTGAAGATACTGTAGTATTTACAACAAACGATGAAATTGATACAGAAATTTGTAGTGATACAAATAATGTTCAGCAACAAATGGGAAAGAAAAAAACACGTAGGTCGAAAAAGCGTTCAGACGACAAATCCGAGAAATTTGATGATTATAGCACTTATACAGATGCTGATTCGGATAGCTCTGAAGAAATTTATCAACTCAGACCAACTAGATCCGGCAGACTGTCGAAGAAGATAAGAAAGTTACAAGCACCTGACTTAACTACACGTAACAGTGATATAGAGACAAAATTATCGGTGGATAACAAAATACCGTCACATGTAGCTGTAGAAGTTACAGAGTACGTAAATACACAAGTTACGAATAGCGAAAACATAGAAACTACTAGTTCCGACAATATTATGTCGATGATACCAAATATTAATCAAATGGAGCCAGGAGCCTTGGTAATAGTCTCAAAGGAATCTGCAGAGAATCCTGGAAATACTATTTTACAAGTTTATATGGTTGCCTCAAATATCGACTCTAATACAACAGTTACATCTAGTGTGGCGTCTGGGAATCAGTCATTGGAGCCTTTAACCAATCAACCGGAAAATACTGAACCGGTTGACATTGTGGATGATTCTAAAAAATGATCTTTTGCATTGCATTTAATTATAATCTAACTTTATAAAACTATATATTGTAAAATTACAAAAATCAGAATATTCCTTAATGGGATATTTAAATTTTGTTGTAAATTTATGTAAACTATATATAAGATAAATTTTTACTTTTTGACACACACACACACACGCACGCGCGTGTGATATACATACACACATATATACATATATATGGATATATTATGCATATATATATATACATATATATATATACATATATATGGATATATTATGCATATATATATATACACGCATACGCGCCACACACACAAATGTATAAACAAATTTTTTATACTAATTGCAAGCGAAATTATGTATAAAACATTTTCTACCTATAGATATAAGAGTTGTTTTGCGACAAATTGTAGAGATTGTATTAAGTATGATAAGGCTTAATCAATATGTGCAAATCAAGGGTTGTGTAATCTACTTTTTTAATTTTTCTTATCAGAAAGCGATAAAGCAGAATTTTTTATATGTCTATTTATTGTCAATTTGTGCATTAAATAATTTTTGTAGAGCGAGATGATGTATATATGAGAGATAAAAAATGTATTGTTCAGATGTCAACAATTCCCTGTTCTGAATATATAACTGAGTTTCATTCTGACCATAAAAATATCAAGGCTATATATATATAATTATTTACGTATAATTAGTATTGTTATATATAATACTATTGAGTAAATCGGTATGAAAATAATAAAGAAGAATCAATTCTCTTGCAAGAAAAATAATATTAGAATGTATGTAAGCACATTAACCGTGTACGAGTATGCAGTGGTTAAAGTATAATATTATGATAATTAGCACAAAATACTGCCATAAATATTTTTTGTATAATTGTATTAGCAAATATAATTTAAGTAACTTTAAAATAATATTAAAACTGCAAAATATATAAACGGCATGTAAAACATTAAACAATTGAAATACATTTATTTATTTTTGCAATAAAAATTGCTCGTATATGGAAAGTGATGGTTTTATGAATCTTCAATATCATAATTAGTAAAATATACTCTTTTATATTTAAAAGATTGTGTAAAATTTATTTCTGACATTTTTGCATATGAATTAAAATGTTTATTTTTGCTGCATCTGTGTGGTAGTAGTGATAATGATAATATATTTTTTGAGGTTGTCTTATTTTTTGAACTTAATTATTAATAGCATAATTCTATAGTATCACATGGAATCCATTTTGAGCTTTCCAAAGCATCCCACAAATTATAATCTTGTTCAATTATTTCTCTGTTTACCTTATCGATGTCAATAGGGATTGAATGTTCTATGAAAAAAAAAGATAAAATATTAAACTAGAATATTTAAAACTTGTAACGTGTGATACATATTTGTTTCCTTATAACATCATAGGATAAATAACATACCGATTAATTCTAATTCGTCCTCCTCAGGTTTTTGATCAGATACATAACTATTATAAGTATCTGACGTCGGTTCGCTTTCGTAGTAACCTTGTTGCCAAGCGCTGTAACTATTCCAGTATGATGATGTATCATAATAATTATATGCCTCTGAATTCATATTTGATGCTGGATATTCAGAAGTTGATTGTGGTGGTGTTGAACTAAAATCATTAATTTAAAATTAAGTGAAACAATAACACAGCGGTCTAAGCTGGATTATGGGTGCTTCTAAATAATTGTGTGTAAATTTATATACTACAGATGTAATTCTTCAATTGCGCGCCGAAAATTTTTCAGACTTGAAACGTAATACTAATAAAACTACCGCAGTAATATCATGAGTTAAATTGTTAGTATATAAATTTACAATATATAAATTCACACATAATTATTTAGAAGCATCCGCGATCCAGCTTAGACCACTGTGGCATTGTCTCATTCAGTTTGAAATTTAGCGATTCAATAAGAATTGATATTAATTAAAAATTTATAGATGATTCTTTCTCTGCACAATAATATTAAACGCAAATATTTTGTTCAGAATAATAGCAAAAAAGAATTTATTCTTTTTATAAATATATTATTTATACTTTTTAATGTGCAATTAAGACACACCCAGATATTTTGTTCCAAGGTCTAGGCACTGCATTGCAGATTTTCAAAGATTTTGTTCCAAGTCCTCTATAGCCATTCATAGTGATTAAACTGTTTTTCTGTTCTTCCTCGTTTGCAAACCTGACAAACCCATAGCCTTTGCTGAATCCAGAACTATCCAATATAACCTTAGCTGTTCTGATTGAGTTATATTTTGCAGCAAATGCCCTATATAAGGAATAATCGTCTACGTCTGTAGATAGATCGCCTACCCAAATACTGAATTCTCGCTCGGCGGCAGGTTTTCCTGTAGTGCTAGCGTGATTTAATCGGAATCGTACAGGCTATAAAATACATCAAGAAATATAACGTTCATTGACTCATTGCTAAAACAATACTAAAATTTAGGATTAGTATCTATTATAAAATTGTTATCTCTAGTATCATATATATCAAGAATTTTATATATATATAATTGAGAAAAATATTTCATTGACAGAAAAAGTTCCTAAAATTTTATATTTATAATGTTGCTGTAAGCAACACATATAGGTTCTTTTTTTTAATAAAAATTGCAACTATAATGAAATCAAGAAAAAACAAAGATATACACAAGATCGTTTTCTTCCAAGAAGCTAATTTGACTTGGATATTATTAATTGTTGCTTTTAGCAATATAAAAATAAAAATAACTGTTTCTTAAGTATACCATAAGATATTGAATTTATAAAGTTTATTACATGACGTACTAATACTTACAGGATTTGAACCAGGTATAACTTTACCATTCAACTTATGCATGGCATCAAGTGCCATTTCATCAGTTGGAAAATGTACAAAACAATATCCTGCAGGCTCACCAGTATATCGATTCCGCATAACTTTTACTGTTTGTGGTTGTTCGCCCATTTTATGAAATGCATTCATAATAAAGCTCTCTGTCATATATGGCTCCAACTACAATCAGATTAATTTTATTACTAACACTTGTATTGTGTAAAGTATTTGTGGACGAAAAAATAATTTATTCTTCTAATTAATTGAACAATTTACTTACGCCACCCATCCATAGTTGACACAATACCATCGGCCCTGACATTTTTGCTTATTATTACAATCTATTTTTTCTGATAGTTATTCAACTTTTCTGATCTAACTGAATTTTTCACACAATAGGATAAAATATTATAAGAATTATATCGTTTTAGTGCTATATATTTCTTTATCTTGAATGTATAACCAATTTTACACTGATATCAGATATTAAATGTATGTACGTATTATAACTTTTGTACGGGAAAGAATTAAATTATGTAAATTGTAAACTTATATATGTTACTCGCATTCAGAGAGAAACCTGAGAGCGGCCATACCGGCCTTTTTCACTTTTGATGATACAATTTTATCGGCGAGTCACAATTCACAAAAATGAACGTGGTACGTAGTTCCCGCAGTTCGAAAATGAACGTTGATGCCGCTAGTGTACAGGGGTGTAAAGTCACTAGATTTCTGTTTTAATCTAGTGACTTTAAACGAGATCATTAATGCCTGTTTCTACCAAAAGACGAAGAGCAAATTGAACCGAGATTAAAGTTAATCTGCATTGGTGGAAATGGGCATAAGTTAAGGTTGATTTATACTGGCCGTAAACTGTTAACTTATGCCGTAATCTATAAAAATTGACCAATCACAGTCGAATGAGAGGGGAATAATCGATTATAATTGGTCAATTTTTACAGATTACAGCATAAGTTAACAGATTACGGCCAGTATAATCCAACCTTTAATCGGCGTTGGTAAACAGTCGCCCTTCACTTTTTTTCCCATGCTTCGTGATATCTCGATTCAAGTTGATAGAAGATCGAATCGAATCGCATGTCTCAGAATCGATCGAAAAACCGGTTCTTGAGTGCGGAAAAGAGTCGATTCTCGATGCATTGAATCGAAATCTGGCATCCCTATTTTGCACCGTTGCCGCGGCGTTCACAGCGTGCGCAACTACACTTCGATAGCAACAAATATGGCGGGCGCAGTTCGCGCAGCGATTATGTGTCTTTAGGCGCGTTGACGTGCCTGATAAACGTCGTATAGCCCGATCATCGGGTCAGGCCAGTAGCTGTCGCGGACAAACGCGCGAGTGGGTGTGTATGTATATGTGTGTGTGACACGTGCGTGCATGCGTGCGTATGCGTGCTATTACGCGATTTCGTCGTGTGCACGCGTGAGTGCACGCGTGCTTGGCCGCGTTGGGTGATCGCGGGGCCGCGTTTCCGACGTGTTCCGACGAAATATGTCAGATGCTCCGGAAGCATGAGCGAGGGAGCGGACTCGGTTGCGCAGACCCACGGGGATACGCTCACGACCTTGGGCAGCGAGCGCGAGGGCGATGCGACGACACCGTCGCCGTCGTCGACGCCGCCGCCGTTGCCGTTGCCGCCGTCACCAACGGCAACGACTTGCATCGGCAGGAGGCCGCGCTTCGGTACCGGTGGTCCCCCGTCGTCACCCTACGTGTGGATCGACGGCCGTCAGCTGCGTAGCGCCCTGGCATGGACTAAGAAAAGACCGCCCCGACGAGTCAGCTTTCCTTTGAGCGACAGTCACCTAGTGACAGGCTACCTCGAGCCTGACAATCCTTGGCGGCACAGTGAGTATCCTGCTCTCTTCTTTTCACGATGGACAGTATGTACCCTCATTTTTTCACATCTGGTTTTTAAGCTTTGTGTTTATGATACTGGAAATTGCTCTAAAATGGATGAAGGAAGAATTAACCAATTGGGACAGTTCAGGAAAAATTAACCAATACAATTGGTCTATTCTTGCTTCTGTTCAGTAAATCTGGAGATCTTGAAACAATTTCTAATATTGTGGAGTCACAAATCACTTTACACTGAGTCGAGCATTACACCATTTTGGAACACATATTCTGTGTACTAACTAAATAGAGCATTCGATCACTTGCATTTAGTATGC